CTGTTTACATGTGCAGAATAAAGACCAGCACAAGGAGAATACCATTAAAGTTGATTCCAGAAGTGGAGAGGCAGTTAAAGGAGATAGTGGAGAAAGAAACAATTTAACGAACATGCAACAGCAACGCTCCATTCACCTTCAGATGTCTTTTGCTTTGCACTGGGAAATCAGGGAGCAGTGGCCGTGTATAGGGATGAAATTGTTAGATTCTCCGGCAAATTGTTGGAACATGCAGAAAAGCCACCAACACTGCTAAAACGAGTCGATGCAGCCGGCCTATAATTGATCAATAATAAATGTTAAATCGGTCGCAGCCCAATCACGTGCTTTGAACAAACAAAAGATAACGGGAAGAGGCAATGGCTGTCGAAGAATTTGAAAAGTATGAAGAATTTTTCAACCCCAATGTGGAAACAACAACTGCGATCCGTGCTCGGAATGGTTAGTTCGATTAAAAACTTATGCCGGGTTTCTCCTGGCTTTGGTGTACGGTTGGGAATCATCACGGACCAAGGTTCGTGATTTGAGGAGCGTTAACTTCGGAATATGTTAACGAACTGGAATACATCGATTTTCAACATTGCTGAACAGGTTAATGGGACAGTTCAGTAATATAATGAAGGAGTGTCTAAACGGTAAGGGCAAAACCTGGGAAGAAGGGCTATCAGATGTATTTCTCGGGTACCACAGAACAAAACATGTAACAACACAGAGTTCATCATTTTGAATTGCACACGGGAGGAAGCACAGGATTCCCTCGGATGTCTGCGGGCCAGAAGACAGAGAGGTGGACACATGTTACCTCGATTAGCACAATACCTTGGACACCATGCTTTTGATAGGACAACATGAACACAACGCCGAAGTAGACGAAATATGACGTGAGACAAAACAGATGTAAATGATGTTCGTTCAAGTTCGGAGATCAAATGAAAGTAAGAGACCATGGTCAACCATAAATACCAGACCCCGGCGTTTTCTAATTTACAGGACGATGTAACTGACCGCTTGTTATCCTCGGTGACAGGAGTGCGAGCATTCAAACCACCAAAGGTTCTTGTGGGCGATGGATCAATGGCAAACATCTGGCACACTGACACAGTCGGGGTAAGTTTCTTGAAGAAGTGACGGGTGTTTTGGGTAATCAGTTTGGACAGGCGATTATTTCAACACTCGGCAAAATATTTCGGCGTAATGGTGAGATATGATCAGAGTTCGTAGCGGATGGATTGCGGTCAACATGAGGAATGTTAACGTTATCACCAGACGAAATCGGACCAACGGCTTAGAAGCGACGGACGAAAATCCACGACAAATAATGTCGACCAAACACACGGAGCCAGAGAGAACTGCACACGACGTTTAAGTGTGCTCAACGGTGCCACTGGTGTATTCCAGAGTTAGCTGACTGTTAAATCCTGTCTTGGTAGTCAGTATGCTGGATCATTTGGTGGATTGCGTATGAGGCAGTTCGTTTAGTGGGTAACTCAGTCTAATTGTGAAGTTTCTGGTCTTCCTCTGTGGCTTCGTAGCTCAGCTCGTAGATCACTTGCCGTGTCAAGGCACGCTGTTCTTCTCGCTGGTTCGAATCCAGCCGAAGTTCGAATTTTTCGCAGTCGTGTCTCTTCTAAAATTACCAAAGCTGCTAAACTACTTACCATTAATATAAGTACCGGGGAATATTGTCGTAACAACGCCAGTTGGAAAGGTTGTTCGGGTGCCTCGATCAGAAAAAATCGTCGGTTTCACATTCATTAGTTTTCATTTCTTCAGATAGGCCTCTCAGAAGATGATGCAGAGCACACCACGATCAGTAAAGTCGTGCGATGCTCTTCAGCATGATCAAATACACATGAGAGCCAAATTTCGGTCTTTTTCTTTGTGCTTTGTGATCTGGCTGAACGTAACACAACCTATTTCACTAGTCACTTTCGTTTGACATCAGTGTGGTTTTAGATCTCACCTTGGATCGTAGATTGACTGGGGTGGAACCCAAATCCTTGAATTGGTTGAAATATTTGGTGTTCGTGTTGCAAAATTTCCTATCCAAAGTGTACCTGTTCCATTTACTATCCACTCGTGGAGTGGTCTTACTGTTGTGTCCAGGCTAATTGTGTGGGTTTCCTTAATAATCCTTTGTGACTAGAACTGGGATATCACATAAGCCTTCACTGACAGGATGTGTAAGTACCTCGTTTTATCACATATAAACTAGTACATCCCGCAAAGCACTGTTACGAATCGTTCGGTGTTATTGTGGTTGTGCTGTGAGGTAAATCGTAATTCGTTCATACCTACTATGGAGCTGCTGAGTAACATTAAGCGGACTGGACTGGCTAACAAGAGGACGGGAATGAATGCTCCGGTCCGGATGAGGATATTTACTGGTGATGAGTCCTAAGTGGAACGGAACACAAATGTGGTGTCTACTTGCAAACTATGAAATCCGACAAACTTATCAAATTTGCGGGCAAACGCGAGTGTCATTTAAGTTACTGTAATCAAAATCTCCATGTTTCAACTGACAGGTAAACGTTAGCACCACTAAGCACATATTCTTATGCAAGACCACTTCGTGTTCGTAGAGTTGGCTACAGAAACATGGTTATGGTTGTCATCCGGTCTCAAATGATGCTCGAATTCCGGCGAATTGATAGACGTGAAGGTTGAGTGATTAGCAGTTGGTCGCCAGTTTGAACTAGGGTCGTGATACATGGTGACTTTTACTGACCGTGTATTTAACATGGAAGACTTAAGTCAGAGTGTGCTCACGGGCCAAATATTGAAGAGGTGAAATGGGTGAACATTTCGATTTTAATTTACACAGCTTTTGCGCACTATAAGACCATAAGGGAGTTGTAGCAGGTTGTAGACCTCACAGCGCTTACTTTGGTACACATAATGGGCTTTCAAGACGAATGTTGGGATATGAAGATTGCGATCGGATAAGGTGATGCAAATTGCGAAGCAAAATTTCATCAAGCCGTGAAAATTCGGATTATGAAATGTTCGTCCGTTGTACCGAATAGTTTGTTCGAACTGACTGACTGTCTGCATTATTTTCGATTCACTTGTTTGATCGTGTCAAACAGGTGAATAATCAATATTTTTCTGCAGTTGTTTGTCGCAAGTTCGATGACATGCGAGTGAGTATACTGTTGCGATATACGTGCCATAGTTTGGTTCATCCTTTAGATCAGGATAAACGAATTCAACTATGATAAACCACACACCCTTTGACAAGTCCACACAAAAGGTTCATACAACAGGTGATACAACTGACTACTTTCACTAGTTGTTAACGTTGGGAGACCATCAGTCATATTATTCATTTTCTACTCTGTGTTCTGTGTCCATAAGTCCCGTGGAATGTTTGTGTATGTTGTTCGGGACAATTGTACCTTATCACATTTTATAAGTTGAATTCTGTTCTATTACCAGTCCAACTGCATTTAACTTTTGCTACTGAACCTTCTTGTGACGTACTTTTCTGTTGTTTATTTTCCAATGTCCAAACTCTGACATTATTTCTTCTTTTGACTCAAACTGTTCATTAAGTTTAGAATGTGTTCTTTCTCATTCAACGATATGTATTTGCTTGATGCAACAGTTATTTTGGCATGTTTTAATTCGCCCCTTATATGTGGTGAGTTGCCCGTTTTGAGTTTTCATGATCAAAAAGACCATAAAGTGACCATGGTTCTGTTCCATTTTTCGTCGAAAACGTACTTCACGGCAATCAGTTATTGATTTTTGTCAATCTGCTCGACCAGTTTACTCGAAGTTTACCGCAATATATTGTTTAGCTCAACCGTCAGTCATCTGACTGTAGTTTAATTATAGCTTAGGTGTGCACCCAAACTTTCTGGTTTTGAGCCCATCATATCGGAAGCGCAACAAGTATTACTGATAAACTTCTGTGTATCCATCACATATTCTTCAAACCCGACTAGCTGTCGTGATTTTGACAACGCATATCCACCCTGCCATGAACAGTAGTCTACCTAAGTCCTGTTGCTTCTTAATTCATTTTTAGTTATTCAGAATTAAGTCACATTTCGTACTCACTTAAAACTTACCTTAAACGCTCGTCTTCATATTTTGATACAATGATTAAGGGGTACTTTGTTTGTCCTGGTTAAACGGGAAACGTATATTTCAGGATATGCCTATATCTCATTCACGAATCGCTACGAACCTTCATCCCATTCGCAATAAAAGGATTCTGATAAAGCATTTATATTTCAACGTCCCAGTAGTACATTTCGGAGTATCTCAAGAGTTAAACGAAATTGTATGGGCAAAGTCTGTAAACCGAAAAGAAGAAATATTTGAGAAGTGGGTTGTGAAAAGTTGGCGGCTGATGAACTGTAAGTATTTTAAAAGTACCGTAATGCTAGTATATAAAGCATCTCTATAGTCTCACCTGGAAGCTGCAATGTACCCCGTTTTATCAATGATCTCGTCAACTTCTGGCACGCGCAGTTCCAATGTGACTTGACATTGAGTGTCGTCCTCAAATTCCAGAAAGTTGTCTTCTTGCAAACTATATCGTTTTCCGTCAAATTGCACATAAGGTTCCCCTGATTTGATCAGTTTTCAAGTGGAATGAGAAAACAAGGTCACATTTGTTGACAAATATTGATAGTTACTTGTCAGTAGTAACAATTTCTATGCTTAACAAGTGGCGTTGGTGGTTCCCAGCATGAACTGTTCGAGAAATCCCGCTGGGACAGTAATTCCCTTGGATCTTCGGTGGATTCAATGACACAGTTGGCTTAGGTGGATTAAACTGTGCAATGTTGGATAAAACTTTCCAGATAGTGCATACTTCCGAGTCTCAGCTGATAAGACCTTTCTCGCTATACTTGCGAGCCATTGATGAATGCTGTGGTTGTATTCATAATCCAGCGAAGCTACATGAACTCTTGTCACTTCAATTGGAAAGTTAATCCCATATAACAATCTAACTCTGCGATACTAATTTTTTAGTAACAAGATATATCACCATCACGATAGGCCAAAAATTCATGTTTACAGTTCCATAACTGAGCGGAGTGACTTGCTTTCGACATTACCAGAATTGGTGCTTATTTTAGAGGCCTAGTTTTACCTTGATACGCTCTGTTCTTAAAAATTAATGTGAAGACTAACATTATCATGTAACTAGCCTCTTACAAATGATGTTAGAACAGACATAACAGTGTTGCTGATCAGATATTAATCAGTGTTATAGGAATACACTTTGCTAGATCTTCTGAGGTTTTCCTGCATACATAGCAGCATTGTTATATTCTCGACGTTGCCTTGTTCACTCAGTATGGAATAACATGGAATAGTATGGAATACATTAACTGACTAGGGCCAACGTATTCATAAAGCTATTGTGGAGCAGCCTGAATGAGAAGTAAACTCCCGGTGAAGTTTTATTGGTTTATTACCGGGGATCAGTGTAAAAATAATCGGCGGAAAAATGGTCAGAGTTGGTTCTATCACGATAAAACATTTTTATCGGTTCATTCCTGATTAGTCATTTGTGGTTTGTTGTAAGGCTCGTTTGAGTACACCACGTCGTTTCTGATGTAACGTCGGTGTTACAAGAATGGGCCTGATTGTCAGTAACAAATGTACGAGGTAGTAAAGGGCATACGATGCAGTGTATCCTCACGTTATACGTTTAAAACTGTACCCCCATGTTAATTTCACCATCCTGATATTTCAGGATGTTAACGTTTGTCTATTTTTATCAATCACACACAAAACTCATATTGTGCAAATGCACTGAATTAGCTAATAACACGCAAATATTTCATTCTACCGTTTAACCTGCGTAACGTAACATTGTGCCAGATGCTGTGCTCATGTTAACAACCCAAAGGTTATGTATTTAGCCTCTGCTAAACGGGAATTTTGTGTCCTCCTACGTCTTTCCCGAAAACACTCAACCTGTTCAAATCTAGACAGACCAGGTTGAGACTATCGGGGGTTGGACAAGAAATCGTACGTTTATTACTTGGTTGTGTGATCATTCATTTTCCTTGGGATTTGCTAACTTATAACTGCTGCTTGGTTTTCGGAATGAAGGAACTCACCAGTGTCGTCATCATAGTCAATCGGAATAAACATTGTGTACGCCTCCACTGAACAGGCGAGAAACAACATTGTAAACGCCAAAGCAAATGCAACGGCAACTTGCTTCATTTTGCAAACTACCTGGTGATCAATGTTCAAAAAATGTTTTTAGTTATCAGCGAGAAAGAATTTTGAGATCATGAAAATTGAGAATTTGCAGTCCAGGTCAAATTTATGGTTTGATGAGGGTTGCAGTTATTCGTTAACACTCTGGTTAACCTAGGTGGGCACAGTTCCACACCTGGTCGCCTGCTTAGTCTGACCAATTATTGTGCACCAAATTGGGTGCACCATCCATGACAAAATATGAATTGTCAAACCGGCTTCTTATGATTGGTATTGCTCTTTTTGTTTGCCCACTTTAGAACGAGATAGTTGTATTGCATTCTCTGGACCTGCAAACCTTCGTGTTGGGAGCCGCTGGGCTAACCTTCTCGATCACTGGGCATACAAGTTCATCGTGTCTGACAA